AGAAGGTATCACTCTTACTTGTGTAACGGAATCTTATAGTTTCCCTACATGTAACTGAGCCCTTTGACCACTGGCTATTCTGAACATAAAGTTTGCAGGACACTGGCAGTTTTGAAAAAAACATTTTTTCAGGAAAAAAAAAGACAGCATACAAAGTTTTTGAATAGCGGAGGGGTCCAACAATGAGTGTCATGGACTTTCCTTTCCAAGCTAAGCAACAACAATTAGCTCTTATGATTGGATCTTTTTCCACTGTTTTACTGAAAACATTTTATGTAACATTTTACATACTCAAGTGTGGTCAAGTTAATTGCTTGTTCAACTCCTATTTTCAGTTCTGCTCTGATAAGAGACTCAGGTCATTCTCAAGTAATAAAGTTGTAAATTAGTAAAACAACTGTTCAAGGAAACTTTTTCAAACATAATATTTCCTTATGTGTTGAATAACTTATCCAAGAACCTGTCCTAAGAACTGAAGACCTGAGCCTTTATGAATTAACGCTCCGACCAACTGTTATGAAATTACAACACTAGTATATTATTGTAATGTTTACTAAACCTTCGTGGCATTTATGGAGGTACAAATGGCATAATTGCAAAATTATAACGCAAATTCACTTGCGTTTTGACCTCTTAAACGTTATATTAACCACGCCGAAATATAAAATATTGTGCTCCGCGCAACTTATAGCCAAACTTTGTTCGGTTTTTTACCCAGTATGACTTGCACATGAAACAAACACTTGTTTTCCATTTTTTCCAGCAGCTTACAAAAATTTTAGACATGTTATCAGCACGAAAAATGATAACTTACCATTGTCCAAGATGGCAAACACAAAAACGAATGCGTCCTACAAAATCCTTTGCGCTGGATACTCTTTACCTGTTTCAAGAAAATGTCTTTTCAAGATGCACAATAACCAAAGAATATTTTTGTATAAGCACCATATAAAATGAGTGTTTTTTACTCTGCCTGAATGGCATGTCCAAGGCGGCCATCCCAAGAAGTAGTACAGTGCACTCACAGTATACTAGGCTCGCTGCATTAATTCACCAAAGTGCAATGTTATTAGTATTTCGGTGCATTACTGCACCAAATACTAATAACAAGTGCACCTGATGCACTTGAAAATACTGTTAACAGGGCACTGTTTCGATGCATTAGTGCCCAGGTTTCAATGATGTGGTTTATCAACTGCTCTGTTACATGTAAAAGTGTACAATTGGAAATGTTGATGAAAATAACATGTAATTTAGGAAGGCTTTTTTGAAACCGAAATCAGTGATACTGGTGCAACCTGAACCATTTAATATGGGGAGTGCTTTGCAGATTCTCAAAACTCCCACGAGGTGGTTATCATTAATTCTGGATTCACAAACGTTGAGCTCAAGAAGATTTACAAAATCAATGTTGCCGTGACATTTAGTTCTAGTTTTCACTGAGTTTTGAAATGTTCAGAATTCGCAAACTTCTCCAGTGGTTTCTCCTGTCATGGTTATTGACATATTCCCAAGATATACTGTAACAGTTTTCACTAAATCAAGTAATTTGATGTCTGCTGTGTGAACCCAGGTAACTCTTCTCACTACATTCTTCAGCTGTGTGAAGGTAAGACATTCAGGCAATCGAATTGACTCAAAATTTTCACTGGGAGCCTTTGTCACAATCGACGGAACTTCAGAAATCCTTTTTGACTTTTTGCAAATGAGAGGGATGGTTCTTCAAATGAGATGAAACGAAATAAAACTAAAAATGCATAAAATAACGTCTTTGGGACGCTGATTTTAATCAGAAACAACATTGTCCAAAATTTAAAAACAAAACACGATGTGACTAGCGTTCTGGTGACTGCAGAGAATTAGTACACTAAATTTGGTGAACTAATGCATCGCGGTGCACAGTGCACCAAAACAGTGCACTTGGCCTATGTAACACCGTACACATAGCGGATAAATGGCTTTGATCCTGATTGCCCACATGACTTGTTACTTGGGCATGATATCATAGTGCAGTTTTAAGTCATGATTAACAGTTAAGATTGTGTTACTTTTTCTTACAACAATTATCTTTTTCTTTCTTATTATTTAACTGGGTGGAATAGCTTGTAGGTTCCTCTGTTCCCTACTAGTCCTTCCCCACTGCTATCTTGTGTCCGAGTTTTAAAATTTATTGTGTGCAGTGAAAATGGATTAAATCTTAAGCCACAAGATTTTCCAAGCCAGACATGAGCTTTAAGTATGGGATGCAAAGCTTGTCACCAGTCTTTCTTGATCCTTTAATGTTTTAATCAATACACTCCTACAACAGTTAAAACTATACTAGCATCTAGGAGTTAATGTATAAAAATATGTGCATGTACACTAGGCATAAAATATTTTTACCTAAACAGTGAAGAATTCAACTTTCTTTTGACACTTGTTTTGACATAAATGTAAGAGAACTTGATGTTAATAAAAAAAGATTGACGCATGTATTGAAATTTACAATATTTTTTTAAAAATGGATATAGATATGAATAAAATCAAATAAAAATGTGGGGAATATGTTGCTTGAATGATCATAAATTAAAAGTCTTCTTGAAAAGATAGTTTTAAACTAAACATTTACATTCATTTAAGACTTCCACAGCACCTTGGCTTATATGCTAAGGTAACTGGTGGATGAGAAGGCTCTGTAACCGTACACGTAGTCTGTTCAGGTGGTTCTTAACTTATAGGCCATAGTAATAAGATATTTACTATCAGAAGATCTAAGGCTCAGAGCTCGTCAGGGGTTTCAATAAGCACTGACAACCGACAGGACAAGTCGAGTACTTTGCTCGCAGAAGTTGGCTACTTCCCCCCCCCTGTAATTAAGGCTGAGAATGAAGTATTAAAAGAATGATTCTGACAAAACTTCAATTAAAACAGTCATAGAACTAAAAAAGATACTTTTTACGGTTATTTAAACTTATTATTGATCAGCGTTGAGATTAAAAACCTGTTTATAAAAGAAATTATTATATCTTTCTTTTACTAAGTGTTGTGCCCGGAACACTAAAAATTGCATTTTATGGTATCCATAGGTTTAAAAATATTCTGGGGAAGTATGCTCCTACACTTCCCTTAAAAGAAGAGGGGCGGCTGACAGCCCTTTTTCGATTTAGTTGGTTACCCTATTTAAACTTGCTGGCTACCTCAATTCGTATGCTTCTAGTTATGTACTGCTTAACTTATTCAGAGAGATAGATTGGAGCAAGATTATTCAGTGCCTTATAAGATATTAATAATATCTTAAAAATAACATGTTGTTCAACTGGCAGATGGTGGACCCTCCTAAAATAGGGGTGATATGCTCACTTTTACTGAGTGACTGAAATCTTTTTAGCACTTTCTTAGGTATTCCATATAAAAGGGAATTGCAACAGTTTAATTTTTGCAAACTACTATATTTCCTAATGCAGCTTATGTTTCTTAAGTGATAAAATGCCGATTTAGCCACCATGGTAACATGTTACTCCAGACTCATATTAAAGTCAAAGAGCACTCTAATATTCCTAGCTGAACTTGAAGGGCTGACTACTTCATCAGATACAGCAACAGACTACAGTGGAAGGTGGAGTAGTGGTCATGTTGTCACATCCAGGCAAGCATTAAAAAATGGAACTAAAAGATATCCCTAGCTGCTTCCTTCCTATACTTGTTGTTTCAAGGCCTGTAGGGAGGGGTGTGTGACGGGTGGGCTCCCCCCACAGGTTTTTGGGGTCCACTTTTCTGTTGACCAATGATTTAAAACAAGGTGAATTAATAATGTTGTGTTGGTTTGTGGTCTCAAGCTGTGAAACTCATATAGAAACTGAAGGTTCCCTTAGAGATTTTTTAACGGCAGACATTTATCAGAACTGAGTAAATTTAAAATTAGAGATTACTGGACATTGATCTTAATCAATTTCATTTAATTTGGCAGATCTTGGCGAAATTTTCTTTGGGACCATATCTGTCTTTATCTAAGTTTAGAAAAAGAAAGCGACAATTTTTGTGTTGTGTTCACCTACTCCATAAAGTGGGCTCGTGCAATTAGGAAGTTTCATGTTGCGGTGGTGCAACGATGGCAAAGAACTGTACAAAATAGCGTGATTTACATGCAAAGTTGTTGTTGTCATTATAAACATTTTATTTTTTTGCTGTTCTCCTTGCCGTTGCCGTCATCATTGGTTTTGTTGTCATCCAGAAATAGAGCTACCATGGTAACTTCTCCTCTCTATAAGTAGCACCCAACTTGGCACACAAATGAAAGCTCCCCCAGGGGAGACCCTGGGCAAATACAAATTACTTACAATGTATTGGGGATTTGTATAGGTAATAGCATGATTTGTAGTGATATTTGGCATAAATACCACTAGTGATATTTCGAAATTGTTATGCATAATTTGAGACAATTTTGAAATATCACGAGTCGTAATTTTTGCCAAATATCACGTACAAATCATGCTATTATCTCTTTACACTACTAGCAGCAGAAAGGTTCGTAATTTTCACATGTAGCTATTTCAAATTAAGCTGAAATACGACTGCTCTAAGCCAATGAAATCTCAGTAATTTTTCATGTAGTAGTATAAGAAAGATTACTTTACCCCGGAGTTGGGGGAAGTGGGGGAGGTTTGGTTTACAACAACCTTGCACCACAGGGAAGAACCAGGGTCTTTGTAGAATGAAATGAGGTTGATTGGATATAGAGACCACTTGTCCAGAAGATCGCGGGCTTAGATCTCTCTTTGTAGTGGACCACTTCTATTAAGGAAATGCTTCATTGCACTTATAACGAACATTTAAATCAACAAGAACATTGTAGAATATATAGTTTGTTTTGGGTTTTTCTTTATATCTCTTGGTATTGCCTCTGTAATTTTTTTATTTATAATGGTTTAATGAGTAAGTTATTATTTGGTGAGATATTTGTAAGGTAATAAAAATGTTTTTTTATGTTGTGTCAAAAAGGTATAAACAGAAAGCTCTGCTGCATGTCTTTACAGTGCAAGATTTGTGGAAAGTGTTTTAGGGTAGCAGGAAAACTAAGCAGGCATGAAAGAGTTCACACTGGGGAAAAGCCTTACGAATGTAAACAGTGTGGCAAGTGTTTTAGTGAAGCAGGACACCTAAGGAGGCATCATAGAGTTCACACTGGGGAAAAGCCTTACAAATGTAAACAGTGTGGCAAGTGTTTTAGTCAAGCAGTACACCTAAGGAAACATGAAAGAGTTCACACTGGGGAAAAGCCTTACAAATGTAAACAGTGTGGCAAGTGTTTTAGTCAAGCAGTACACCTAAGGACTCATGAAAGAGTTCACACTGGGGAAAAGCCTTATGAATGTAAACAGTGTGGCAAGTGTTTTAGCGCAGCAAAAACCCTAAGGAGTCATGAAAGAGTCCACACTGGGGAAAAGCCGTATGAATGTAAGCAGTGTGGCAAGTGTTTTAGCCGATCAGGAGACCTAAGGAGTCATGAAAGAGTTCACACTGGGGAAAAGCCTTACGAATGTAAACAGTGTGGCAATTGTTTTAGTCAAGCAGTACATCTAAGGAGTCATGAAAGAGTTCACACTGGGGAAAAGCCTTATGAATGTAAACAGTGTGGCAAGTGTTTTAGCGAAGCAGGAACCCTAAGGAGCCATGAAAGAGTTCACACTGGGGAAAAGCCTTATGAATGTAAACAGTGTGGCAAGTGTTTTAGCCGATCAGGAAACCTAAGGAGTCATGAAAGAGTTCACACTGGGGAAAAGCCTTATGAATGTAAACAGTGTGGCAAGTGTTTTAGTGTAGCAGGACACCTAAGGAGGCATGAAAGAGTTCACACTGGGGAAAAGCCTTATGAATGTAAACAGTGTGGCAAGTGTTTTAGGGTAGTAGGAAACCTAAGGAGACATGAAAGAGTTCACACTGGGAAAAAGCCTTATGAATGTAAACAGTGTGGCAAGTGTTTTAGCCGATCGGGAAAGCTGAGGAGACATGAAAGAGTTCACACTGGAGAAAAGCCTTATGAATGTAAACATTGTGGCAAGTGTTTTAGTGTAGCAGGACACCTAAGGAGACATGAAAGAGTTCACACTGGGGAAAAGCCTTATGAATGTAAACAGTGTGGCAAGTGTTTTAGCCGATCAGGAGACCTAAGGAGTCATGAAAGAGTTCACACTGGGGAAAAGCCTTATGAATGTAAGCAGTGTGGCAAGTGTTTTAGTGAAGCAGGACACCTAAGGAGGCATGAAAGAGTTCACACTGGGGAAAAGCCTTATGAATGTAAACAGTGTGGCAAGTGTTTTAGCCGATCAGGAGACCTAAGGAGTCATGAAAGAGTTCACACTGGGGAAAAGCCTTATGAATGTAAGCAGTGTGGCAAGTGTTTTAGTGAAGCAGGAAACCTGAGGAGGCATGAAAGAGTTCACACTGGGGAAAAGCCTTCTTACGAATGTAAACAGTGTGGCAAGTGTTTTAGTGAAGCAGGACACCTAAGGAGGCATGAAAGAGTTCACACTGGGGAAAAGCCTTGTGAATGTAAGCAGTGTGGCAAGTGTTTTAGCCAAACAGGAAACCTGAGGAGTCATAAAAGAATTCACACCAGGGAAAAGCCGTGTTTTAGCCGATCACAGAACCTTAATAGTCATGAGAAAGTCCACAGTAGAAAACACTCGCATAAACGTTATAGTAATGAAATTGTTTCTAAAGGTTTGCCTTGCAAGAGTAAGAAGGCAGTAAGTAATGTGAGGATTAGATTTACAAACACCACACCTACACAGAGAGAGACTGGAGACAATAGGATAGAAGACCAGCGATCAAACATCATTGAGAGACATACCTGTTGGATTTGTCAAGAGGAGATGGGTGATGAATCTCTTCTTCTTCAACATTATGAAAATCACATGAGATATATACCTTCAGGTGGTTCATAAAGAACCTTTCTACTACGGCCATTTTCTTCTGTCTCCAATGTGGCTGTTGTGGAGAGGTTCAACTGTAGACTTTGCGATTTTGAAGGTGGACACCAATTCTCAAGGGGTGTTTACAAGAGAAAACTCACACTGGCGTGAGTTTTGTACCAGGATGACTTTTTGATTTCGTATCGCGTTTACATGATGACTGGCTCATTTCATATTTCGCTATTTGAAAGTACAATTAATGTTGATAAAATACACATGCGATTCAAAATCGCAAACATAACGCATGCGCTACACGTTCCAGTCTACCAGCAGACCGATTTCACAATGAAACATGTGGTCGTTTGGCATTTACATGATACTGTTGTGTGGTTTCTTACCAGGGTGAACTTGCGCTGGGGTGACTCACGTTGGCATGACATTTTGTGGCGGTATCATGTAAACAAATGTAGAGTCATGAGAAGGAACTGGAGTGAACTCACTCTGGCGCAAAAGTTGCCCCCGGTGTCATGTAAACACCCGCTTAGGCATTCCTGTTATGCTTGTTTGAACATTGGATTAGGCTATCCATCATATGAATCACTTTTCATAGGAAAAGTAACAATGGAAATAACTAATAATTAGTTTGCGTTATTCCCTGGAAAGGGGTTTATCCAATGGATTTAAACATCTAGGGCCCAGTCAGTAACATAGATTTTTAACTATCCAGTTTTATCGACCAGAGTATTGCCACTTGATCACCTTTCCTAACGAGTGAGAAATACTGAATTTAAATAAAATCAAGCAGTGTGCAAAGAAAGTCGTGTCCAGTAGCAGGGGGCTAGTGGATTTTGCTATTGGGCTAGTGATTTATGGTCTTAACTTGCCCGACGGGCAAGTGCTGTTCTTTGGGGAAATTCAAATTACAGATTGACCCTTATCAATCCTGTTAATCAAAAAGGGTTTTGGAGCTAGTTGAAATGACTTGTGGGCTAGTACGTGCTAGCTACAGCTTGCCCGAATGTTAGGCTGTAAACTGACTTTCTTTGGACCCTGAATCAAGTCATATCTTTATGTCTGTGCGCTCTATTGTTATAAGCTTTGCTTTTTTCAAAGAGTTGTGGCTTCTTTCACTTGCTTTATGATCTCAGGAGGTAGAGGTCCTCTTTTAATAGTGATGAAATTTTTTTAATTTTAACCGTACGGGTTCCTGTCGTTCAAACGTTGGATGGGTCGATCTTTCGGATAAGTCACTTTCCATTGGCTAACTATAGTTTTTTGGCGTCGGAATCGCGTGTAGATTGCGGTGAGGGTGAAAGGCGGAATGAGTTTGCGGAATGGCACGTGGTATGGCTTGCAGAATGACAAAATTATGCTGAATTTAATATAAATATAAATGGCGTAAAGAAATAAATTAAACAGGAGAGCATGCGCGCCTCTCTACCGGGCGTTTTTTTGGCGCCGATTTGAAGGTTTATTACTGGCATTTAGAGAGGGTTTCACGTTGAAAAGTGCTGAGCAGTTTGCATCAATGTTCACTCACAGATTGACTACAGACATCTTTTTAATTGTAAGTTAACTGCTAAAATCTGTCCGCACGCTTGGTCAAGACACTTCGAAAAACTGAATTTTTGTCACATTCAAGTAATAGTTTTGTTACAATCATACGTGATTATGCCGGTTGGTCGCTTACAGGGAACAGAAATCAAAACGGAATATCTTCTGGCCTAAAAAGTGATCGCGGTCGTTTAAGAAATTTGAGTAGTGGTCTCTTACGAGGGAGTTTCTGAAGCAGTATTTCGCTGCGAAACAAAACGAGTATCAGTACAAAGTGGTCGCTTAATGGGGGGTGGTCGCTTACGGAAAGTGGTCGCTATGAGAGAGTTGACTGTAGTTTCGAATTCTACCCTCCTCAACGTCAAAAACTTAACGCGACTGATAGGCCCTATTAGGTGGTCAGTTTAATACATGGCAAGGGACGCAAGAAACGCACTCCTACAATGAGCGATCGGCGAAATGATTTGATCTAATCTCATACCCAGATCTGAGTTCAAGGTTAGACGTGAGCTCCTTGTCGTTTTGTCCCATTGGAGTCTGCGTCTTTAGCTTCATCAAGACTGCTTTGAACCACGTGACTAGTGAAGTCATCATTAACCCTTTCAGCCCAAACATCCACAAAATAATAATGTGATGGTACATTTTTGTGAAGAATCTCAGTTTAGGGAATTTGATAAAAAATCCTTTAATTTTTTTTAGGTGATCATTTTGTTCATTTTTATAACCTTTTCTCTCATTTATGTTTTGCCTTGTTAAGAGAAAATTGATCTTAACCATCCTTTGGACTTCAAGGGCATATTTCTACATTCTTTTCAGATTCAGGTTTTTGGTTTTTGTTAGAATTCTTAAGTAGTAGGGGCACCCAACTACGGTTTCCTCCTAAATGCATTGAAATTGGTTTTTAGGCTATAAAGAGTACTTTTTGATCTTGAGAAATGCATTCTAATTAGTCTCTGTTTGGTCATCCTAGGGCAACTTGAGCCTTTTAGAATTTAAAGGGGTTTCAGTATTATTTTCCCGAAAATTGTACATGCAATTTATCATGATAATTGAACTGAGTGGTTTGAAATTATACGCGTGATTTTAAAATCGGACGAGCCATTTTCAAGTCGCCGAATTCAGTCAGTACCAATATTTATTTGACCAAGTAGCCGGTTTGTAGAAAAGCAGAAATGAAAAGGCTTTTAAAGCTCATTTTGTATTCGAAACAGAAATTATGCAATATAGAGCGAAAATGGTGCGATTTAAAAGAGAAAAGACGCAATTTGGAACAGATGTGATTTAGAGCGAAGAAAAAGTATAATTCGGAGGCTTACTGTAATTTGCGAAACGAGATGGAACGGAAAAAAATGCAAATCTGCAATTTGCGAAATGAAAAGGAGCCAGGGCGTTAAAACGCTAATACAGAACCCTTTTCCCTTCCCTTTCAATAGCCCAACACGCAGGCTAAAACTAGCGTCCCTTTTTTTCCCTTCCTGCCAGTCCCGATTCCCCGTTCGACATCTGCTATGCACTAGGTACACTGAAGGACAACAAATTTTAAAGCTGAGAAGGCATCTGACTGACCATTGTTCTCAATACGTGTTCCATCTAATAAGGATAGCGCAAATTTTCCGTAAAGTTGATGCATGTTATACGTGCCTATGTTATTCTGGCATTGTCCGAGGCAGACTGAGTCCTAGTTCTACGGTAGACGCTTCATGTAGAGGAAAATGTATAGGAACACCTCAGGATATATATTCCTTCTACAGTCTACAGTTATTGATCAGAGATAGAGAGAGAACGCGGCAACAAGTATTCATTTAAAAGGTGAGTAAAGCTCTTTAATACATTATATATACATTCTGAAATGATTCAAGTGTAGGTTTAATCAACGCAATGTGGGAAAGCAATCTTCACTGGCGATTTGTAGCAGCTGCTTACCGTTCATAATTATTAAACTACAGCAGCTACAAACTACCATGCCAGGGAACACCGTCGATGTACATATCGACAAAGTTGACACTTAAAGTTTCTAGGGATTTTAGAAATGTAGCAGATTTCTCATTTTTTGTCCTTTTTATAATTTGGAAGTTCAAGGCCCTTGCCCCGGGGGGGGTACTACCGCGAATTTTTGATAGGGGTGTGCAGCGAAGGACCGTGAACCCTAACCCTATTTAAGGACTAAGAAAGCGAAAACTGATACCCTTTTTAAGGCCCAAAGCCGAAAAATGACACCCTATTCAAGGAAAGAACAAAATTATTCATAACATGAAAGGAAAACTTTATTTCTTCTCTGTAACATTGGATGTATAGCATCAAGCATAAAATACTAGAATACTTAAACGGATACATCAAGTTAATAAAAACCGTTCGTTTAGGTGGGCATTTTCACACTGCAGCATTAGATAATACAATTAAGCTACCCTATCTAAGGACGACACCAGGGACACAGAAACAAAAGGGTCAAAAAAGATACCCTATTTAAGGACCGAGAACCTCAAAAACAATACCCTATTCCGCGGCACGTACCTATATAGCCCATATATGGGAGTATCTCCCCCGGGGCCCTTGCAAGGGTCGACATTAACTTCTTAAGTTGGATGCCCTTCGGGCAACAAAGCCTCATGTCACAATCTAGTTGCCCGAAGAAAAATGTTAGTCGCCCAAAACATTCGGTACAAACAAATGAAATAAAGTTGTATCTGCAAAACAGGTACCTTCTTATTAACTTTCCTTAATATTCACGAACAAAGTTATCAGAGGATCAATGAGGATAATATTCTACACAAAAATTTGTTCACATTTATGTGCCAAATCGAAATAGGTTTGAGCTCACAAGGCTGCTGCCTAACAAGCGTTCGGTGGCCAAAGGCGCCTAAGCACGATTTATCCTCAGACAAGCAAAATTTCAAACACTGGGCCCGAACAGGTGCCTAAAACTTATGATTCTCAAGCTAACTTTCAGTGAACAAACAACAAAATTCCCTGTTCATTCGGCACTTTTAAAATGAAAATGGGAAACTTTTAGTTTCGTCGTCGGCCATAGGCAAAGTATTATTTCCGTCAACAAAAGGTAAACAAACAAGCACTTGTCTTGAATCCTTCTGTGACTTCCCCTGCAGTGCATTAGAAGTTTCTTGTGTGAAAACAGCATTGAATGAATTTAATAGTCTTTGAAAAAATCTTTGATATTAAAATCATGACATTTCCCCCATGACAAGCAAAAAGCAAGAGGTGTCAAATTACAAGTCACATTACTTTTGCAAGTTTGTAGTGCTTTCTATCTTGCTACATTTGTATGAACATGAACGGTACACTCGTTTATTCAGCGTTATCTACACCTTTTTTTCGCTGTATGTTTTGTGGTAACATTTGTGAGAGGCTTGAAAAACATTCTAGTTTTTGAAAATGATTTGCAGCGGCTATTCAAGATCCTATTGTAATCTCTTTTTAATTTACTCAGTTGCGCACAATGCATGTAAATACAAACCTTCACAAAATAATTTTTATTATAAAACAGTTTTGATAGTTCAAAAGATAGACTTGATACAAAAACACTGAGTCATGTTAATTTACAACTTTCACAGAAATTTCAGTTGTCCAATCGGGCAACTAGGATCCTAGACTTACTTGCGGGGATCAAATTTTTAGTTGCCCCAGGCAAGTTGGCAGCTGTTAATGTCGAGCCCTGGTTCAAGGTATTATATGACTGCTGGTGTTTCATTACCCTGTGGTTTACAGGCCACCCAAGTTTGACCGTATTTTTTGCACAGTCATCGTACATTAGCGCATGATTATGTCATTATTTTGTATAAGAAACTATATTTATATACATGTATGTAGGCTTTATTGATTAAATTTGTCAAAGCAATTCAATCCAATTTAAGTGTAACTAAATGCATAACAAGGTATCACTCTTTCTTGTGTAACGAAATATTATAGTTTCCCTACATGTAACTGAACCCTTTGACCACTGGCTATTCTGAACATAAAGTTTGCAGGACACTGGCAGTTTTGAAAAAAACATTTTTTCAGGAAAAAAAAGACAGCATACAAAGTTTTTGAATAGCGGAGGGGTCCAACAATGAGTGTCATGGACTTTCCTTCCCAAGCTAAGCAACAACAATTAGCTCTTATGATTGGATACTTTTCCACTGTTTTACTGAAAACATTTTATGTAACATTTTACATACTTAAGTGTGGTCAAGTTAATTGCTTGTTCAACTCCTATTTTCAGTTCTGTTCTGATAAGAGACTCAGGTCATTCTCAAGTAATAAACTAGTAAATAATGAGTAAAACAACTGTTCAAGGAAACTTTTTCAAACCGAATATTTCCTTATTTATGGAATAACTTATCCAAGAACCTGTCCTAAGAACTGAAGACCTGAGCCTGTCTTGCTTCAACAAACATTGCAGAGATTTTTATAGCAATAAGATAGGCTCTGTGTATGTTGTTCGCTTACACCCCAAAGTTCGACTGAATCAGGATGCTTTTTGCATCATTGTGAATTAACGTTCCAACCAATTGTTATGAAATTACAACACTAGTATAATATTGTAATGTTTACTAAACCTTCGTGGCATTTATGGAGGTAGAAATGGCATAATATTGCAAAATTATAACGCAAATTCACTTGTGTGTTGACCTCTCAATTAATTTGATGTCTGTTTTGTAAACGCAGGCAACTCTTCTCACTACATTCTTCAGCTGTGTGAAGGTAAGACATTCATGCAATCAAATTGACTCAAAATTTTCACTGGGAGCCTTTCTCAGAATCAACGGAACTTCAGAAATCCTGTTCCACTTTTTGGAAATGAGAGAGATGGTTCTTCAAATGAGATGAAACAAAATAAAACTAAAAATGCATAAAATAACGTCTTCAGGAAGCTGATTTTAATCAGAAACAACATTGTCCAAAATTTAAAAACAAAACACGACGTGACTAACATTCTAGTGACTGCAGAGAATAAGTGCACTAGTGTATTGAATTTGGTGCACCTATGCACCCAATTTGATGCACTAGTGCATCGCAGTGCACAGTGCACCAAAACAGTGCACTTGGCCTATGTAGTGCTTTTGGGAAGCAACACCGTACACATAGCGGATAAATGGCTTTGATCCTGATTACCCACATGTTACTTGGGCATAATATCATGGTGCAGTTTTCAGTCATGATTAACAGTTAAGATTGTGTTACTTTTTCTGATAATTTCTTTTTCTTTCTTATTACTTAATTGGGTGGAATAGCTTGTAAGGTTTTCTGTTCCCTACTAGTCCTTCCCCACTGCTATCTTGTGTCTGGTTTTTAAAATTGTGTGCTGTGAAAATGGATTAAATCTTAAGCCACAAGATTTTCCAAGCCAGACATGTGCTTTAAGTATGGGATGCAAAGCTTTTCACCAGTCTTTCCTGCTCCTTTAATCTTTTAATCAATATATTCCGAGAACAGTTAAAACTATACTACAAGTAGCGGCAAAATTGTTGATACATTGTACTCAAATAGGGTAACTTTCGAGAACAAAAGAATCTGCACCCCTCCCCTGTCCCCTCCAGTCAAAGTTGGGGTGTTTGTTGTTTTCTATAGGTAGCTCGAACATCAGTACAACATTGCACGGAGGGGATGGTGGAGGAAAGCTATATTTCCTCCTTTTGAAGTTAATAAAGCATAAAAAGCCCAGTTTTGGACGAAGTGTCGAAATCTACGCACTGTTGTCCTATTAGCAGCGGTTAGGAGACGATAACTAGTTGAGATTACTATATTCACCGGGTCATTTTTCAGAAGATAGATAAGATACCCATATTATCACTTTGCTGTGTTTTTTGAGGGAAAATTAGTTTTGCCAATCTTTGTACTTGGTAGTGTTTTCAAGTAATTACACAGCATACCCATGTACCAAATGATTGATTTTCCTCTGGTAACTAAGTGTGATCGTTAGGAGTCAATGGCAGATAATATATTGTATTTGAATATGTCCCTAGTAAGTTCGAAGTGTTTATTCGAAGTTTGGCTATTTGATAAGGGTGGGATTGACAATAATATAGCCATGATTGCTATGCGCAGGAGAATTTTCAGGAAAAATGTTCCAACTTCTAATGCACAGCAAAGCTGCATAGCATCACTAAATGTGTGCAGTAGATTCGTTTCCCATATACCCATAAGGGTCTTTGAAGAATGTACTTTACGGTAGAGACTATGAGGTCAGGAGGAGACTGGCCACGAGTAACCACAAGTAACCAACTTTGTTCTTAAAAGATAATCTGATTATTTTATTTTATATTCATCATGGTTACGCGTGAAATTCCTCCTAAAGAGCAATTTTAGCCGTTATAGCTACTTTAATGCCTAGAAATCTATTAAGTTTTCTATCCTTTTCACTTTTTTCTTTGTTTTGATTCGTTTCGATAAAGGAGAGAATAAGAAATCATGTGCAACATGCCACATCACACAATGTCAAGGCACGGTTAAGCGTGACAGGAAATGTCACACACTGAAAATAACGAAATTGCCTTTCTAATAATTGTTCTAAAATAGGTATGGTGAAGTCAAACATAGCAAATAAAAAGCCACCAGGGGTCTTCCATCCCAGCATAAAGAAATGAATTCAATTAATTTTCTTAAGGACATATGGCCAGTTTTGCAATTCAGACAATAGGTGACAAAATTGTTGAAACAATGTACTCAAATAGGGTAACTTCGGAGAACAAAAGAATCTGCTCCCCTCCCTTGTTCCCCTCCAGTCAAAGTTGGGGTGTTTGTTGTTTTCTATAGGTAGCTAGAACATGGGCACAACATGGCACAGAGGGGATGGGGGAGGAAAGCTATATTTCCTCCTTTTAAAATTAATAAAAGGTAAAAAAGCCCAGTTTTGGGCGAAGTGTCTCAACTCATTTTGTCGTCGATTGTAGCGGCTAGGAATTAATGTTTAAAAATATGTGCATGTACACTAGACATGAAATTTTTGCCAAAACAATGAAAATTCAACTTGCTTTTGACAATTGTTTTGACATAAATGTAAGGGAATTTGATGTTAATTAAAAAAAAAAAAATGATCCACGCATTGAAATTTACAAAATTCTTTAAAAATGAATAAAGATATGAATAAAACAAATAAAAATCTAATAAAAATGTGGGGAATATGTTGCTTAGATAATCATAAATTAAAAGCCTTCTTGAAAAGATAGTTTTAAACTAAACATTTAAATTCATTTAAGACTTCCACAGCATCTTGGCTTATTTTCTAAGGTAACTGGTTTTGTACACGTAGTCCGTCCAGGTGGTTCTTAACTTATAGGCCAATAGTAATGAGACAATTACTATCAGAAGATTTAAGGTTCAGAGCTTGGCAGGGGTTTTAATATGCACCGACAACCAACAAAACCAGTCGGCTACTTTGCTTGCAGAAGTTGGCTACTTCCCTCCCCCTCCTCCCCCCTGTAGTTAAAGCTGAAAATGAAGTATTAAAAGACCTAAAACTAAAAAACATACTTTTTACCGTTATTTAAACTCATTATTGATCAGCATCAAAAATAAAAAGCTTTATAAAAATATGACTATATCTTTCTTTTGCTAAATTTAGTGCCTGGAACATATAAAAATATTGTGGGGGAGTCTGCCCCTACACTTCCCTCAAAAGAGGAGGGGGGCTGACAGCCCTTTTTTCGATTCGGTCAGTTACTCTATTAAGGTGGCCCGCACCTATTTATATGCACGTTGGTTATGTTTTTGAATCGCGTTTTCGTCCACAAAGATTTAATCGATTTCTATGATTTTTGGCATCCTTAGTAAAGAATGGTCGAACTTTAAGAAAATGTTACTTATTTTCTTATAGGTATAAAAACGTTTGAGATATCAGCATATGCTTAAAACCGCATTTGTACAAAAAATGTCAATAACTTCGAAACCCTAAGACAGCACAAATGGAAGCTCCCCTGAGGGACACCGTGGGCAAATACAAATTACTTGTAATGTATAGGGGATTTGAAAGATTACTTTACCCCGGAGTTGGGGGAAATGAGGGAGGTTTGGTTTACAACAACCTTGCACCACAGGGAAAAACCGGGGACTTTGTAGAAAGAAATGAGGTTGATTGGATATATAGACGACTTGTCCAGAAGATCGCGGGCTTAGCTCTCTCCTTGTGGTGAACCACTTCTACTAAGGAAACACTTCATTGTACTTATAAAGAACATTTAAATCAACAAGAACATTGTAGAATAGATAGTATATTTTGAGTTCTTTTCTACAGTGTATATTTAGTTCCTGGCATTGCCTCTGTAATTTTTTTTAATTTATAATGGTTTAATGAGTAAGTTATTATTTGGTGAGTTATTCATAAGGTTATAATAATGTTTTTTATTTTGTGTCGAAAAGGTATAAACGAGAAGCTCTGCTGCATGTCTTCACAGTGCAAGAAGTGTGGAAAGTGTTTTAGTGTAGCAGGAGACCTAAGGATTCATGAAAGAGTTCACACTGGGGAAAAGTCTTATGAATGTAAACAGTGTGGCAAGGGTTTTAGGCAAGCGGGAAACCTCAGGAAACATGAACGAGTTCACACTGGGGAAAAGCCTTATGAATGTAAACAGTGTGGCAAGTATTTTAATGAAGCAGGTAACTTAAGGATTCATGAAAGAGTTCACATTGGGGAAAAGCCTTGTGAATGTAAACAGTGTGGCAAGTGTTTTAGAGTAGCAGGAAACCTAAGGAGTCATGAAAGAGTACACACTGGGGAAAAGCCATATGAATGTAAACAGTGTGGCAAGTGTTTTAGCCGGTCAGGAGACCTGACAAAACATGAAAGAGTTCACACTGAAGAAAAGCCTCATGAATGTAAACAGTGTGGCAAGTGTTTTAGTGTAGTAGGAAACCTAAGGAGGCATGAAAGAGTTCACAATGGGGTAAAGCCTTACGAATGTAAACAGTGTGGCAAGTGTTTTAGTGTAGCAGGAAACCTAAGGACTCATGAAAGAGTACACACTGGGGAAAAGCCTTACGAATGTAAACAATGTGGCAAGTGTTTTAGTGAAGTAGGAAACCTAAGGAGGCATGAAAGAGTTCACAATGGGGAAAAGCCTTATGAATGTAAACAGTGTGGTAAGTGTTTTAGCCGATCAGGAGACCTAAGGAGTCATGAAAGAGTTCACACTGGGGAAAAGCCGTATGAATGTAAACAGTGTGGCAAGTGTTTTAGCCATGCCGGAACCCTAAGGAGTCATGAAAGAATTCACACCAGGGAAAAGCCGTGTTTTAGCCGATCACAGAACCTTAAAGGTCACAAGAAAGTCCACAGTAGAAAGCAGTCGCACAAACTTAATAGTAACGAACGTTTTTGTAGAGGTTTGCCTTGCGAGGGTAAGAGGCCAGTAAATAATGTGAGGTTAAGATTTAAAAATGCCTTACCTGCACAGAGACAGAGAGAGACTGGAGACAATAGGATAGAAGACGAGCGAACAGACGTCATTGAGAAACACTGCAGCTGTTGGATTTGTCAAGAGGAGATGAGTAGTGAAGCTCTTCTTCTTCAACATTATGAAAATCATATGAGATATATAACTGAAGATGGTTCGTAAAGACGGCTTTAGGCCTTGGGTTACCCTTTGCAGGGTGCAAAGAAAGTCATTTTTAAAGCTTGCCATTCGGGCAAGCTGAAGTTAGCATACACTAGCCCAAACGTCATTTCAGCAAGCTCCCTAAACATTTTGATGAGCAGAATTTATTTCAAAGTTCGTCTGTAATTTGAATTCCTCAAAAAAGTTAAGAGCAAAATTAACTAGCCCGATAGCAAAATCCACTAACCCTGGGCTATCGGACACTACTTTCTTTGCACGCTGCCTTTTGTTAACCTTTCTATTGTGAATGCAAGCACCGTTACCTTTTGTTACCTATTGTGTTTCCGTTAGACGACTTTATATAAGAAGTAGACATTGCGATTTTTGACGGTGGACACCAATTCTTAGGCATTCCTGTTGTACTTGTAATTTTAATTGTACAGTCTCCGGTTGTTTAAACGTTGGATAAAGCTACACATGAGATAGATCACTTTTCATCGGAAAAGTATAACATGGAAATAACGGATAATTAGTTTATTGTGTTATTCCCTGGCAAGGGGTTTATCCAATGAATTTAAGAAACTAGGGGCCCGTTATTAACATAGATTTGTAACTCTCCAGTTTTATCGACCAGAGCATTGCCAGTCGATCGCCTTTCCTAACGAGTGAGAAATATTGAATTTACACGAAATCAAGTCTGTGCGCTCTATATGAGCTTTGCTTTTTCCAAAGAGTTGTGGTTTCTTACACTTGCTTTATGATCTCAGAAGTAGGAGCCCTTTTTCTGCTTTTTCGTAAGAGGTGATAAACCTTTTAACACGTCAAAGGACTGGTAGTTGCTGTCAAATATGGCTTAGAGTTACACAAAGTTTTGACACTCGTGAACCTTTTGTTTCCTGTTAGGTTACGTGACTTACTTGTACTCAGCCTGCGAATTCAGTTAGGAGTTTGTCGTTTGTTTTTCGTAAATTATGAATACTTATGCATAAGTGGATAGGATGACAATTGAATAGCCTGCAGTGCAGGCGTTTTCTTCGAGCGCGCGAATTTTTTTTTGCTTGTTGAAACTCCCGAAGAGAGGAGGAAATGGGGCGAGTCAAAGGGAGCGGGGAGGGGGCGGGGAGAGAGAGAAGAGAAGAAGAAGAGTATTTTTTCTCCCCTCTTCCCTTTCCTTCTTTCGCCCTCGCACCTACCCAAAGGGGTACTATTTCTACTCTCCCCGATCGTCCTCTGTCATAAAATCAAAGATGGCGGTTACAACAATATTTTTTACTTTTAATTTTATTATTTTACATTTGCCACATAGATTAAATATTACAAAAAGAAAATGAAATATTACACCTTCTGCTGTTCATTACGAGAAAATACGCGTTCATTTACGTGAAACGGCGACCATTTCAAAATTTAAGTCACAGTTCAAACGGAGTTTCACAGATGTGATCGCTGGTCGCTTTAATACGAGTTTCGAGCTAGCGCTCACAGGGCGTCTGGAAAAGCGGGAAAACCAGGAAAACCAGGTTACCTTTCTTATTTTTCGTATAAATTGAATTAGAATTAAGGTGGCTCAACACTGTTTTGCCAGTTTGTGAGTATATGTCATTTGCCAAATCATGGCAAGAGGAAGGTTGCAGCTCACAAGCTGAAACTTGGCAAGTGAAAAATATACTAATGAAGGTCAAATTTTACGTTTCCGTAGTTGGCAACATGAACGATTGAATACAACCATAAAATTTCACTTTTGCTCAGTTTACATAAAATTCGCTCATTAGATTTTCCTATAAACTTGCACACGGCTAACTATAATTAATCATTACCATTTGAAACTTTTTTGACCAAATTTTAACAGACGAACATTTAGAAAATCAATAATTTAAGAAACGGTCTAGATAAGAACGATAGTATCAACGGCAACGAACATGTTGGAATGCAAAAAAGGTGCTAACTTTTCTATTGTCTGTACTTACTTCTGATTGGCTTAAACAGCAAAAATTAACAAAACTTCATAAAGCAGTACATATGTTCATCCTTCTTTTCAAACGATCTTCCATATAACAAAATCTGGTCTCAGTTTGAATAACAAAGAAATCCTATGTGGGGAACATGTAAAATTGTAAACTTTTCTTGGCTATTGTTTTCCACTCTTGTGATTGGTCAAAATCTTTTAACACCAAAAAACACCCTTTCAAAGTGGAGCGTAAATACATTTTATTGCGTAAACGGCCTTCATGTAGGTTTATGCATTCTCTGTGTAAAAATGAGAACTTTCCTATGTGGGGAAAGCACCGTTGCCGCATAACAAAAGAAATTGCTATCCACCTTACTCGGATCATTACTTAATTGTATTGTAATTAGTAAGTGTGTCACAAAATTCGTCTGTTCAACTTCCATTTTAAAGTTCTCATTATTTAAAATACAATTAAAGTAAAAATTCTGCCAAATATCACAAAATTTTAATGAGTAGATTTTAACAAATAGTCTTCTGTGTACCATTGTTCTTTCAGCGCGATGTTTGTTTTTCTAATTTAAAACACCCGCCGTCAAGCGAGTTACCGCTGACCGCCCGCAAAACTGTGTTCAGCCAGCTTAAGGTAAATGAGGTCCCTGTTCTTGTATCGGTTCCCCTTCAGATCACTGTTCCTGTTCCCATTCCGTCCTATTCCGGATTCCGCTTTTCGGCTTTTCCGGTCGCACGGAGAGCTTCGACTGCACTCAGCCTCGTTATACAGTCAAACTCCTATTAAGCGGCCCTCTACCAGTGGCAGACCCCGGGGAGGGGCCAGGGCGCCCGGGCCCCCCCCATATCTCAGGGTCTGGATGACCAACCCTCCCCTCCCCCCTTCCTTATCTGAAGGTCTGGATCCACCGCTGTCTATTAATTGGTCACCTATCAAGAACGACAATAACAACAACATAAGCTTTATTTGCATGACTATAACTATGTAGTTACAGTGTTACAAAAGCTTCAACATAAAGTTATAATTTATAATAATGATAATGCAATGCAATGATTACTACATTCAATCAACAGGGGCACCCAACGGGGATATAGTTCAAAACCACTTAACATAGCATTGTTGAACGTATTTTAGTATTCAAACGTTAGATATAGGCATATTTTTATCCCCTAAAAACTTTTCGTCCGTTCGGATTTCCTAGCTGAAAATCTAGTGATCCGAAAATTATAGGAATAAAAACTTACCTTCTCGAAAATTTCAGCCAGGAAAAGGCTCCCAAAAATTCTAGGTGGTCTTTTTTTAGGGTCAAAATCCGTTAAAAATAAGTAATTATATCATTTTGCAGATGTTCGAAAATCCTAGGAGAGGCAGGCAGGCAAGAAATTTTACAACAAATGCCCCGAAAATTCTAGATCTCAAATCGTCTTCCGAACAGATATTTTCCCGAAAATTGCCGCTGGGTGCCCTTGAATCAAGTGTTATCAATATGATTTGATAACAAATTATTACGTAAATCATCACATAATGAGACAAAGTTCCATCAGTATGATTTGATAACAAATTATTACGTAAATCATTACATAATCAGACAAATTTCCACTAATGTGAATTTACAGAAAAATTCTGTGAATTCATAGATTTAATCATTAAATCTGCGTAAGATAGCTGATTAAAGTAGACAAAATCTTGTTGGATTTGATTATAGAATTTCTCCCTTGGGATTGAATATTTTGGACAATGGAAGAGAAAATGAAATTCGTCCTCAATTATACCAGAGTTACAATCGGGGCAGAATCTATCGTTGCATGGAGTTTGATTACATCTTCCAGTTTCAATCATGAGTTTGTAGTTACTTATACGAATTTTCACTAAGTCTCTTCTATTGGTTGAATTTCTAATTAAGTCTCTATAACTTGAAATTTTATAATCATGTTTAAATAAGCTGTAAAATTGCAGTTTCTTAGAATGATGAATTGTGTGTTGCCAATATGTGATATATTTTTGTTTTATTATATCTATATAGTGTTTGATCTTAGCTTCACTTAAATTATTAGGATCAAATTCGAGCAGGTCGTAATATTCAGATATTTTCATAAGATTATGGTACATATAAAAGCTATATTTTTACCATTACAGTGAAGTTCTAACGAGGTACGACAGGCTTGTTTAACAATAGTATCCTCGTTTTTACACAGAAGATACAACATGTAATAAAGGACGTTTTTCGTAAATATTAATAATTAATGGGTATCGTCCTAATTAACGTCTACTTGCATTGCAAAATTTCAATTGGGTTTTTCAATTGGGGTATTGTCCCAAGCTTTAAAATCATGTTTTACGTGTACACCCCAAATTTCGCTATTTTATGATAATATTATGAAAATCATCGCTTCAACTATTTTGCAAGCAAGAGAAGGTTTTAATTTGCTAAAGTTTGTGTGTTTTGTTAAACTAAAAAGAGCATGAAGAGCCGTCTCTTTCAAGTGTTCGAGTGAGATATGAAAATTACCGGTTGAGGAGATACGGGTTCCTAAATATGTATATTCATGGACAATGTCAATGGTTTCTTTACCTATATGGAATTCTAGACTGGAGTTTTTCTTCGCTCGTTTTTGAAAGATCGTAACTTGGTCATAACTTTGGTCTTTTTGGAATTTATATTTATATTCTTTACCTATATGGAATTCTAGATTGGAGTTTTTCTTCGCTCGTTTTGGAAAGATCATAACTCCCGGTCATAACTTTGGTCTTTTTGGAATTTATATCTAACATCTAAGAGTTGCAAAAAGAGGATAATATATTGTATTGAGACAGTTCTGTAATCCTATTAGAGATCATGATAAAATAATTAAATCATCAGCATATAAAAGCGAATTTAATTTGGTACCATTTTAGATTTATGGTGTTTTCCTAGCATTTTCGGCCGTTTCAGGGCGATTCCAGCGACATGACTAAAGAAAACACCATAAATTTAGACAAGGAGGCAACGTAAGAAATTCTAATGAATTTTTATTACCATTTTGACCCCTAAATAACGATCGCTTAAATCTCCATACAAATTCAATATTCTGTTACCCAATAAGCGTCATAAAGCTATTCAACGATTCTCACTCTTGATGCGGTCTCAGTTTTGTCCGAGCCAGGCTGAGTACTACTTACTGGGTAGGTACTTCATGTACGAGAACATTGATACAAACAGGCGGTCATCGATAACGTTTTTCGTACGGTAGTCTCTCTTTCCTCAGAGTTCTTTTTTGATCCACAACGCGGAAACCTGATAACCAAGGTAAGAAACACTTTCAAGTACATGATATATACATCTTAGAATGGCTTAAGTGACAGGTTTGAAGGAAACAACAGCAAAGAGGAGCCCACATAAATGACGGAAATTGATATCACTTGGGCATGACTTGTGTGTTCACTCTAATTAATTTGCAGATCTTACAAATGTAGCGAATTCCAAATTTATTGGACTTGTAGCCCTGAGTTTTGTGGTTTTCTTAATCTTTAAATTCCGATTACTTGACGTTTTGCGGTAACCGGTCGTTATTTAATTTAGCGAAACGCTTCAACGGGAGCAAGGTTTCTCGAGCACCGACCTGTGGTTCTCGGGCGTTCTACTGCTTTTTCTAACAATAAGAAAATGGTAACAATTCTCCACAAAGAGCTAGAGTGTAAAAATGAAAAAGTTAAGCACATAAAGTTGGAGGTCATGCGGCTGAAGACCAAAAGCAATATGAATAGACCTTGTCACGGTTTTCGACGCCATCTTGACTAGTGGCATGTAGTAGGCAAACGCGTGAGAAATTACAGTGTTTGTATGAGAAGCTAATGTAGAATAATTTCTGTAAAACGGTTGTTCTGAAAAAAAAAATGACTTGTAAACTAAAGCTACAAGGCGAAGGATTGTACTAAAAAATTTGGGGGGTACCTGTGCTTAAATTTCTTCAGAGGCTTGCTTTAGATTTTCCATATTATATTTGTCTGTAATTTTTCCTGGGACTTTCTTACACACAAATGTATAGAAAATTTTAAAAAGTGGTTATAGGTCTTCTAGCGCATGTAACGCCCTCAATGTTTTCCAGTAGAATCCTTGGAAGTGAAGTTTTAGTTTAAAATTCATATTTTTTTCATAACAGTCGTTTTACGGAAATTATTCAACATTAGATTGTCATACAAACACTGTAATTTCTCACGTGTTCTCCTACTCATCAAGAAGGGGTCTAAAAAACCGTGACAAGGTCTATTTCCAGCCTGGATAAATCATAACTGATCAGGGGCGTCTGGAAAAGCCGAAAGCCAGAATTCGGAATAGGAATGGGATGGAAACAGGAAGCAGAACCCGAAACGGTAACGGAACAGGAACAGTCATGTGAAGGGAACTGATACAAGAACTGGGACATCAGTACCTTAAATATTTTGATTCTAATTCAATTTATACAAAACATAAGACTAAACTAGCCTGGTATCATGCTCCCCCCTAAATCTCTTTATATTATGGTAACAAGAAGGTAAAAAATGTGGTAAGTTTAATAAGTAAAGCAACAGCTTTGCAAGTGCATCACTCTTTCTGTCAATTTCTTCACTGTCTATGCACAACTACGACGTGAAATGATCAAATCTTAAGTTCTCTTGAGAACGTGAAAGGCAGGCGATTAATTTTATTGTGTCTGTCTGAGCTGGGACGCGGTCTCTATCTTCATTTCCCGACCTTTAAAAGACTGGACAATTTGGAATTAATGAGAAATAGTTTGAAGAAGACCGGAATTCAATTTGTTAGTGGCGTTTTCACTGGTGTTGCGGTTGTCAGATCTTTTATGTTCCTTTTGCCTCTCACAGGAAGGAGGTTATAACATGTTAAAATTATTTGTCAAACCACGTGTAAATGAGAAACCCATCGGAGACATTTAGTCGGCTGCTATACACTTGAGATTTGCTGCATACAGCTGTAGACATATTGTACTATGCTAAATTGGGAAGTTAACCAGAAATAGATAGTCCACAGCTTTAAAAGGGTATTAACCTGTACCTTCTCCCTCCTCCCCCCATTCCCATCCCAGCCAGCACTTCAAGAAGAATTCAGAGTCGTTGTGTGAGACAGAAGTGTTCCATCAAGCGAAACATTGAACTTAAGTTAATGTTGTCCCTGTTTTTATATAGGTTTCTCTTCCCATTCCGGTTCCTATTCCAGTTCTGCTTCCTGTTCCTGTTCCTATTCCCGCTCCTATTCCGGATTCCAGTTTCCTGCTTTTCCAGACACCCACTGATCAGTCCCGTTAATTATTTGTGAAGAATAAGGGTGAAGGGGCTTATTAGAGATGGGGGGCTTAATAGAAGATTTACGGTAACCTATTACGGTTGAACCTGTATATAACGGCTTTGTATTAAGCGACCACCCTCTATTAAGCGGCCAGTTTTCAAAGTCCCGATTTTTCACTCATACAAATGCTGTATTTTTTACCTGTATTAGGTGGCCACCTCTATTAAGTGGCCGCTGCCACCCTTTAGCAGTCCTGTGTTTGTCTTTCTTTGTTATTTTTACCTGTATTAAGCGACCACCTTTGAATGGAAACTAAGCCATATGTCATTTTATGCGATATTTTATTGTGTTTAAAATGCGATTATCACCATAAAGAAATAACATTTTCAGATGTCATCAGCTTTATTGCACAGTGCTTTTACAAAATGTTACGTATATTACTACTGCCATGTTGATTGTAAATTTGCAATATCTCATAGCCCTACAAGACAAAGGAAAATGAGAATCAACCTCAGAGGTTACAAAAAATTCACCTGAAATCAAATTTTACCTGTAACATCTACATGTATAAAGCTGAGCTTAACTTCACACAGAAAGACAACAATTTTTTTTTTTTAAATAAGAACATGTTTGACTAAGGGTCTCCTAAACCCCTTTGAATTCACACAAAAATATTGAGACTTTCCATGCTTCACAAATGATTCCTAAAATTTTTCCTGAAAGATGAAAGAAAACTAAACAAATTAACAAACTCTGTTTATAATGCAAAGGCTCAATAACGTGGCTGATCTTGAAGTCTCAATGCCGCTACGTATGTGAGGACATTCGACATTTTGACTGCTTCCACAAAGTGGGAAACACTACACTGGTGAGTGGCATTCTTAAGTTGATTATGATTAGGGAACATTTATGTTGTTAAGTTTATCTCAAGTAATTTTTATTTTTCTTTTGTTTCAACTTCATTAGCATACATTACCATGCCCCCCCCCCCCCAAAAAAAAAAAAAACAGAAAACAAAAACTACTTGAGATAAAAATTTAACTGCAAAATAATGTTTTTTTTGGGGGGGGAGGGGGTGGCAGGGGGCAGAGAGCTAATGCTCATGCATAAGATTTTTACCTTTGTCCAAGCCATTCTGAGTACTAATTTGTTGGAAGGTACTTTATGTAGGCCAGGGGTATTTTGCAGAATGCAGAATGCAGAATGCAGAACGTGAATTGACTCTGAAGTTTAGTGATGAGGGTTAGGAAACTGTCCTAATCAGCCTTGGAGGATAAAACCCTCCTCGATCTGTATAATTCTTTAGACTAGTAGTAATCATAGATCAATAAGTGCGTTCGAGTTTTCTTAGCTCCAGATTAGCTTTTGTGTCGTCAAGCTTGATTTCAAAATCATGGAAGAGATCATGAATTAAAAGGTAAACATTCTTTTAAGTAAAAATGTTCTTCACGATATCTGGCTTCAAAATATCTCACTCATTAACTCTCTACTCTTAAAATGTCTTACTCTCCCTCAAGCATGGTCGATAAAAATGTAAAGTAGATCGTAAAAAGTTCTTTGTTGTTAAAAAGATAAACATGTCACTACAAACTTCAAAAAAATGGTAGCCTTGAAGGTTAAAAGTCTTGGCTTCTTGCGTGACACAACTTGAAGTGAAATCAATGATCATAGGAGCGACGGAAACATATTAGGTTTCTGCTAGATTACTGATGTCAGAGAACCGGACAGAATCTTTTGCCATTGTGCAAACTTTTCATCTCATGATTATTTTACGTTCATGTAGGTCAGTTCAACATGTTTTAAACTTAGCTTGCTTCAGCGAGCGAGATACTTATCATGCAAAATTACCCGCGTAGAGATATCAGACGTGAATAAAGCATTACAGTTGTAACAAACTGCACTGATACGCTCAAGCTTACTTTTTCGTGCATGAAAGAGGTTAAACTACAAATATGTAAATAGACTCAAATGCACGGGTAAACTTCTCACGGCACAAATGTTACCTGGTCTTTATTTGTGTGTTTCTACGAAGTTCCAGCTCGATTTGAACGGCATTGACCGAAAAGTTTAGCAGAATCATCAGCTCAGTGATAAAACCCGCTTAGAAAACAACTCCAAAGTTCATTCTTTTGCCGAACTCAAATTTTTCCTGTGTAATCATCTAGTTGACCTTGATGGAACCAGTGATGCACGTGATTGCCATATGACAATTGCTTATGACGTAAAAAATAGTTGTGTGCGCATGTCCACCAGGTGAGCCCGCAATTTCTTTGGCCGGCTATTGGGCTTAAAATTCGTGCGCGCGCTTAATAATTATTCAAAATGGCGCAGATTTTGAACATCGCCCGTCCAAGTAACCAAAAATCTCGAATCTTCACGCCTGGCATGCACAGGTATCCCATCGACCACAGGATCCCCAAAGATTACGAAGCGTTCTCCTAACGTCGAACGCAATCACACTCAGCCTAATTGGATAATTGCTCGATATAATATCGAGAATTAATGATATTAGACAAAATTTGTTTTGGTGATAACGAGCACAGTTCAATTTCATTTCTTTCTGTTGGAAGGGGGTATTCCCAGTATAATGACTCTAAATGGAACGTTATTCACTCTGTTTCCTAACCCTAATCACTAAACTTTAGAGTCATTTGGCATTCTGCATTCTGCTTTCTGCAAAATACTCTTGCCACAGGAACATTGATGCAAAACACTTTTCGAAAAGAAACAGTCAAGATCACTTGATCTTTTGTGTTGATCATGGTAATAGCACTGAAACTGTATTAACATAAGAAAGGCTTGTTAGCACATGATGTATAAATATTAGAATGACTTATGACTGACTTGTGGGTGATTTGTGCTGCTTTACAATACTGTCTATTCGCACAAGACCTGTACAACAACTTTTTTGCAAATGTCACGGAAAATTTGGGACAAATTTCACCAAAATACGATTGTTAAAAAAAGCCAATTCTGCGGAAATTTTCTAAGCAAATTTTGCTAGAGAGCAATCGGTTTTGCACTGTTTTCATGAATGTTTTTAATGAAACAAAATGGCAAATTTTGGCAATTTTTTTTTTCGGGGGGGGGGGGGGGGGGGGGGGAATGATGACCTTTACCCTGTGTAATAACAACAACAACAAATATCGACTATTTATAAATGTTACCTTTTTAAAACTGGCAATTTTGTGCTTGAAACCCCCGCTTGCTTTACGATCTCCTTTGGACTTGGTATTGTCTTGCACAAGGTTTTTTTTATCAGAGATAATCATTTGTAACAGCAATGAGTTCAGAAATGCGCCAATGGCAAAGCCTTTTATAATAATAAATGTTATTTAGCCAGGGTCATCTCTTCAGCATAAAATGCTGCTATCAATGAGGGCCCTATATATCATTATATCATACACTGGCCAGTGCCCAGTTTTTTTGCAGTAATAATCTAAGAACACCTGGTAGTTTTGGGGCATTTTCTTGTTGCCATGACAAAGTGTCAAGATAAATTTGCAAGTTTATGGCAAAAACAGCCCCATTAGCTGAGATAAGTCTCAAATATCATTGTTGAACTGTCATGTATTAAGGTCTCTACCAAATTTGGTGGCTCTGTGACCGCGCAAAATTTCAGAAGCCCCGTGTGGAGGAGGTGGGGGGGGGCTGCGGGAAAGAGTGGTTTTTCATTTCTGGGAGTTGTGAGTTTAGAACTTGTTGCTTTATCCCCTATAAAGTCTTCACCGCAAATTCAGTGTTGTTGAAGTGTTCTAAAATATATTTAAAATACTCCGCATATATTTTACTGTAAAGTGCAATCAGATAATCCTAGATGAAAGACATTTGTCCAGCCAAAAACTGGTTGTGTCCGAGCAAAATAGGTTTGACTGGACAACTTGACCGGTGTCAGCCGGGGAATTATTTCATGCCCTGATTTATTGTGTGTCACAATCAACAGAGAATTTATTTCAATAACGTCTATAAAACACAAATTTTGATGTTTGTAAAGAAACACAAAAGGAACACACATATAGATTAGATGGGCTTATACAAACGGGGGGCGGCGCTTATATCTGGAATAATATCTTCGTTAGGATTGATTTCCAGTGTCGCATAACTTTTACATGCCTCCGTGCGTAAAATTTATGTTCCCAAATAAAATACACGCAATGCACGAAAGGTCACTCATAAGCGTAAAAGTTGAACATCGCTCAACTTCTCGTTTAAGCTCAGAACTTTTTATCTTGCCTCTATTTTATTTTACGTGATTAAAATTTACTTGTATTAACGTGTGTAGCCAAAAATGTGTCAGTGGAAATCAACCTTTAGCAAATGGATGGGCTTATATCCAGGGGTGCTTTAAAGTGGGATTTTACATTATATTGAATTAAGGTTAAGCGCTGATTCAAAACAGGTAGCTTCTTTTTAGGGTTAGGTAATGTTGGTTTATGGAAAACAGTCTTGAATAGCAAAACTGGGCCATTATTTTTGGAAATCAGTTGATGTGAAAAATCTTGGAGCTTTTAAAAATGATAGCAAATAGTTTGACATAGTCCCTCGAGTGCCCACTTCAGAAAATGGTAAATGACACATGACTTACTTTTGCTCTCTATGTGGACTGTATGTTTTGCAGGTGCTAAATGAAATAATTTTTGTGTCAGTTTATTTTTTGCGATATTAAACTGAAAAGTAACATTTATTTCTCGTGACATGAACCATGCGTGGTCTTTTCAAACTGCAGAATTGGATGCCTCATATTTCTTGCTTTCTATTTATAAATATATCTCTCAGCATCTGCCTTGATGTCATGCAGTTGACACAATGGAGCATTTGGTGTTTGCAAGCAACATATTAGATGATAGACGTTTTGAGCTGATGTGTCTGTGAAGCAGTGTTTTGTGAGAAATAATTGTGATCAGACTGAGTACAGCGCATCAGTCTTGACACCATGAGCAACTATCAGTTTTACAGTGAACTTTATTTACAATGAACAGTTTAGTGTGTGACATGTAGGGATGCTTTACATTAATTGTCAACAAAGTCCCTTAATGTTTAACTAAATTTTCGTTTACAATTTTCATTACAATACACCTCCTTAAAGTCATCTAAGTAAAATATGATATATATGAAGCAGCATTATACACTAACAAAGCTGTGCCAAACATTACAAATATTTAATATTGCTTGCCTTCTATTTTGGTCCTATTAATTTATTCAAAAAGAATATCTGTATTTTGGCTCCTCTAGCTTCGACATGGCTAGCACCTCCATACGAGCAGAAATCACAGGGGCTCATTCTAGATCTATGCACAACAACTAATGCCATTCTCAATTTGCTGATAAATGATTGGTTATTTTAGTGGGCTAATATAACAATTGCAAAATGTGAGCAGTGGTTTCTTATTGGGGAGTATTTTGTGATAAGACGAAAAATAATGGATGTGGGGGTGGGGGGCTAAATTTTCCCGATATCTCGAAATGTTAGTGACAACCCTGTGAAATGGTGAATTTTTAAGGATTCAGAAGATTTAAAAGGCAGCAGAATAGTGATTTATAAGCTTTTTTGAGCCTGGGCATTAATAGCTGGGGTGGTAGGGGGAGGGTGCTGGGGTGTTCAGGAAGTGGCTAGATGGGAATTTGGAACCACAGGCGGAAGGTCTCATGGTTTCACGGTTTCACTCGTATGTTTTGCCATTATTTCTGTTGTCTACAGTAGAAGCTCTCCTAATGGACACTCTTGTCAGTGGAGAGCTCTACTTACATTTTTGTATTCCAGTAAGTGGCCGGCTCCAGTAATGGATACCTTTTTCGCGTCCGGAAGGTGTCCACTTAAGAGAGCTTCCTCTGTAGTATAAAAAATGACTAGTAATAATTGTTGCCTATTTGTTATTTGAAATGACGTTTAAAGTTTTTCTAACATTTCTGTTTCTGGTAAAGACAGTTTCAAAGGGTTGTCCAATACTCACAAATAGAGTCCATTGGTATTAGTGGTGATAAGAAGGGTGTCCATTGGTACCAATGGTAGGATTGGTACCAGTAGAAAATGATGTCATTTCATTGGTTCTATTGGCCACGTCCCCTTAATGAGATGCATATTCACCAACAGAACCATTGGAATGACATTATTTTCTATTGGTACCAATTCTACCATTGGTACCAATGGACCATCGATTTGACGAATCGTGTCTGTTTGTTTATATTGGACATGTGTGAAAGTTTCGAGTTTATTTCTCTTACTAGAGAAAGAGAAATTAAAATTTCATAAAAGTTATATTATTATGGACTATGGATGTAGTAATGTTATGAAGTTGTCGTCCTTACCTCGGTAACCTTACTTAGTTCAATGTCTTTCATTGGAAATTACTGGTAACATTTCCCATACAAATGCCAGTACTTGAAGACACAACAAAGTCCAAGAACTTTAAGGCAAAAAAAAGGAAAAAATCTTTGCAAGTAATGGTAGGGTAATGGCAAATGTTTGTTAACGCATGACAAATTAATGAGTTTGTCTTGCATGATTGTTTCCCCTTTGGTGGTGAGACTGACTATCATATGTGATGTAGTTGTTGATTGGTTACTTGCACTAAATGCATGTAGTCAGGTTGTATGGAAGTCTCCGTGAAATTAGCATATGTAATAGCATGATTTGTAGTGATATTTGACATAAATATCACTTGTGGTATTTCAAAATTGTTATTCGTAATTTCACGAGCCGTTAAGCGAGTGAAATTTGAGACAATTTTGAAATATCACGAGTGGTATTTATGCCAAATATTATGTCCAAATCATGCTGTAACTGTTGTTAGTGATCTAAGAGAAGTGATTTCGAAACAAACGCCCCACCTATATAAACACCTCATCAGAGACGCTAAATACGGTAAGATGCTTTTTTTTAAGAGGCGCATACTCTTAGCTACATGGTTAGTTAAAAAAAGAAAACTTCACCAGCTAATAAACACGTGTGCCATTGTAAATGAAACATTATAGAAATAATAATGATTAAAACAATACTGAAAAGCTATTTACATTAAAAATGAAGTTATAATGCATACTATAAAAAATTATTTACAAAATTGATTAAAAAGGTGATTCCTCGATATTAAAATAGTGACTCATTTTCTGACAGTCTTTTGAACGTTTTAAAATCGGACAACGCTCTCACGACAACAGGCAAGTTGTTTCAGATCTTGGGCACCTGATACAGCCATGATTTGTTGTCAAAGCGGGTTGTGTTGAGCTTTGGCAAAATGTCCTTTCCTCTCAAGGCATATGTTTTTTCTCGTAATGAGATTAACTCATTCAGGCTTCCTTTTATTATTTACGGGTTTAAAAACCGAACAGAGAATTTTACTCATTGTCTGCCCCATCTGGGTTCTTCTCCCTAAAAGCTTAAGAAATTCTTTGTATGTAGTGTGTTTGTCTCAAAAAACAAAGCGAACAGCTCTTTCATTTTCTTTCTCCAGTTTTTCAGCCGAACTGTTGTTGCAGAAATGCCAGGTTTGTGCACAGCAATCGAAATGTGGTACAATTAATGGCATGTAAATGTTCTTTCTTATATCGTTAGGAAGTATATTTCTCATGTGCTTTAAAACTGCGATTTGTTGTGATACTTTTCTTCACGTATTAACCACTTGCTTATCGAATTTCAACATATCATCAACAGCAACTCCAAGCATCTGTAGGGCATCACCAAAGCCTGGTATTTAGGGTGGATTCTTTTCATGCCATTTTCCAAAAACCATTTATCTACCATTTATGGATCCTTGGGGATTAGTCAGAGTTAATGGTTTCCTAGGCTATCAAAGGATCCTTATCGGTAAAGAAATTCTGTGTGTCATCTGCATAAGTCGATAGGTCACTACGTTTTATCACGTAAACATGATCGTTTATAAGTATGTTTAATAGAACAGGGCCAAGTATGGATCCTTGCGGAATTCTAGTCGTTATGTGCTGCCATGTAGAATGAACTTTTCCTAGTTTCACCCCTTGCCTTCGATTAGAAAGATAGTCCTTTATAAGGGTAATAGTTTTGTAGTCAAACTGACATCATCGTTAAAGACAACGCATTGATTTTATGATAATTTTAATTACTTTTAAGATTTTGAATAATATGAATAATGTGACTCCTTGTTGCTACACCAAGTTACAGTCCTTTTGCAGTTCTTGTGATCGAACGTTACTCCACTTTCCACCAATGATGAAGTCATCAAAGACCTTTGCGGACCACGGACCGTGAATCCACCAACTGTTAAAATGAAAGTGAAAAAATCTTTATTTTCCAATTTTTTTTACTAGCTGTTTATTTTTACTTTATTATTTTTAGTATTTTTAGAACTTCTGTGAAGCGTATTTATGACTATATCTTCTTAATTTTGACTTGTATATACTTATATATTTAGGATTATTTTTATTGTTTTTAGAACTTCTGTGAAGCCCAACTGAGCATTTTTATGGAAATTGCGCTATATGTGTCGATTATTATTAGTATTCCTGTTTTACAAAATTCATAGCTTGTGACCTGAATTATGACTGGCAGCGGCGAATAACAAAAATGAAAGTTGGCTTTTGAATTCCGAGGTTTGCGTGTTATTGAAAAGTACAGTTATCTATCTGGATGTTAATGGTGTAAGAAAGTTGACTATTAATGCGCTTATCTTTTTTTGAAAGGGTGCAAAAGAAGATCCAAACCGTGACTTTTAATTATAAAAAGCGTGGCAAGTGTTTCAGTGAAAAAACAAAATTGGGAGGCATGGAAGATTGCACTGCGGAAAAGCCTTATGAATGTAAACGGTGTGGCGGTCGTTTTAGTGAAGCAGAAAGCTTGAAAAATCATCAAAGAGTTCACAGTGGACAAAAGCCCCATGAATGTAAACATTGTGGTAAACGTTTCAGCCGTATAAACCACGTAAGGAATCATGAAAGACTTCACACTGGGGAGAAGCCTTATGAATGTAAACAATGTGGCAAGTATTTTAGTGCAGCAGGAACCTTAAAGAGACATGAAAGAGTTCATACTGGCGAAAAACCTTATGAATGTAAACAGTGTGGCAAGTGCTTTAGCCTTTCTAGCACCCTGAAGATCCATGAAGGGTCTCATGCTGAAGAAAAGCCTTATAAATGTAAACAGTGTAACAAGGGTTTTAGCCAAGCAGGATACCTAAGGATACATGAAAGAGTTCACACTGGCGAAAAACCTTATGAATGTAAACAATGTGGCAAGTGTTTTAGTGCAACAGGATCCCTAACGAGACATAAAAGAGTTCACACTGCAGAAAAGTCACATGAATGTAAGCAGTGTGGCAAGTGGTTTAGACATTCCAATGTCCTAAGGAGGCATGAACGAGTTCACACTGGGGAAAAACCTTATGAAAGTAAACAGTGTGGCAAGTGTTTTAGCCGATCAGTTAGTCTAAGGAATCACGAAAGAGTTCACAATGGGGAAAAGCCTTATGAATGTAAACAATGTGGCAAGTGTTTTACTGAAGCAGGCTCGCTAAAAAGTCATGTAAAAGTTCACACTGGGGAAAAACCTCATGAATGTAAACAGTGTGGCAAGTGTTTTAGACATTCCAATACCCTAAGGATACATGAAAGAGTTCACACTGGGGAAAAACCTTATGAATGTAAACAATGTGGCAAGCGTTTTAATGCAACATCATCCCTGAGGAGACATGAAAGAGTTCACACTGGAGAAAAGTCATATGAATGTAAGCAGTGTGGCAAGTGGTTTAGACATTCCAATGTCCTAAGGAGGCATGAACGAGTTCACACTGGGGAAAAACCTTATGAATGTAAACAGTGTGGCAAGTGTTTTAACCGATCAGTTAGCCTGAGGAATCATGAAAGAGGTCACACTGGGGAAAAGCCTTATGAATGTAAACAATGTGGCAAGTGTTTTACTGAATCAGGCTCCCTAAAAAGTCATGTAAAAGTTCACACTGGGGAAAAGCCTTATGAATGTAAACGGTGTGGCAAGTGGTTTAGACATTCCAATACCCTAAGGATGCATGAAAGAGTTCACACTGGGGAAAAACCTCATGAATGTGAAAACTGTGGCAAGAGTTTTATGCGAATAGCAAGTCTAAGGATTCATGAAAGAGTTCACAGTGGGAAAAAGCGGTATGAGTGTAAACAGTGTAGCAAGTGTTTTAGTCAGCAAGGAGCATTGAGGAGGCACAAAGAAGTCCACAACAGAGAAATCTCACATAAATGTGACAGTAGCAAAGGTTCGTTTAAACGTTTTCTTTCCAACTGTAAGAGAGCTGGAAGTAACATAAGGGCAGGATTGCCTAACAGCACATTGTCACATAGAGAGCCTGATGGCAATAGGATGGAAGACCAGCAATCAGACATCAATGAGAGATACAGCTGTTGGATTTGTCAAGAGGACATGAGTAGTGAGGCTCTTCTTCTTCAACATTACGAAAATCATATGAAACATGTAGCTGATAGTGGCTCTTAAGTTTGACAAACGCATGTATTTGAGTCACGTTTCCAGCAGGAACAATTTAACCGATTTCTATGATTTTTGGCACCTTAATGGTGGAACTTTAGGAAAAAGTTGTTCGATTTTAGAATGAAAACGTTTGACATATCGATATGTATTTAAAACCGCATTTGTACAGAAAATGTAAATAACTTTGAAATCCTGCGACAGATTTTTCCCTAACGTCAAAAAAATGCCTCAGAGCTATCTACTGTAGTTTTAAATCTGCAAGTTTGAAGTAACCATATAAATTTAACCTTCAAATGCTACGCTAGCACATTTGTGAAAGTGAAAGCAACAACAAAGCAAAACTTAGCATTTACGGAAATCTCCTACCGATCATTGAAATCGGTTAAATCTTTCCTGCTGAAAAACGCGATTTCAAAAAGTTAACCAACACGCGCATAAATAAGTTCGGGCTACCTTAAAGTAATCTCCGCCGACATAATACAGCCTTCTGAAGCCGGCAAAATTCATGACTTTAGAGAAATAGGCCTTCCGTTACTGGTCCTGTGCGACTTGAACCCACCACCGACTTTTGCATAGCATATGGGACGTTTACTGAAATGAAAAAAGGTACATTAAAAAGCATTTAGTGAAATACAGCAACGTAGCTTTTTTCATTGTGTCTTTTATAATTACACCTTTTGCTGGTCATTAAGGTGGCCCGTTCCTATTTATATGCGTGTTGGTTTTGTTATTGATTCGAGTTTTTCAGAATGAAAGATTCAACCGATTTCTACAATTTTTTGCAGCCTTAATCAGGGTTGTCATTAAGGGCCGGGGGCCGGGGATTTCCCCCGGCTACTCAGAGCATGGCCCCCGGCTACTTTTGTCTTTAAATTAAACCAAAAGAGCACACCTTTCAAACACACAAAGACTATCCATCAAACTAAATGCAAGTTTCATCTGCATAAGTGTTCCTCAAAATAGCGAGGGACTATGTTGTATATTTCCGTTTCAATTTAAAGCAAGGCTTGCGTTGACTATACAGTTGTGTACTGTACAGAATGTAGACAAGATTATTTTTTACTGGCACAGCATGGCACCGTATGGCGTGCGTAACTGTAACGGATGACAGACTGCACATGTATAACGGCGTGAAACCTTGAGTTAACCTTTAATGTTTTGTCATTTGTAAGTTAGAGCTCTGAGTTGTTTTTATAAAAAGAATATAAAAAGGTTGAAATAATAGATTTTGCGACTTTGTCAAACCTTTTATTCAAATATAGTATTTTTCATGAAAACAAACAATTTCTTAGTTCGTTCGAAATGTGTTGTATCATTTGTTTTCATTTAAAGGTTGACTTTGCTGTACAGTGGTGTACTGCCCATGAACAGGTTTGTTGTGATTTTATGTTGTTTCACTGGTGGAGCAGGGCACTGTCTGGAAAGCATCAAAGTAAAAACTTGCAAGAGGTGACAGGCCGCACATCTTCACCGGCGTGAAACCTTTGAAACCTTTTATATATTGCTCCATTGAGGAGACTTCTTTCAGGGATCTTACAGTTGAAAATTTGAACGATGATATCGCTTCTATATAGCGGACCAAGATACGGCTCGGTACAATTTATGTTCAGCAATGGAAAATTGTGTAAGTTGAGCAGAACCTTTAAAATTGTTAACAGACAATTTATTCAGTTCGCGCGTATTCCTGTTGAATTTGTAGCCCGTTTATCAGATATGTCTACTCAAAAATATAATAATTTTTCCATAGCTGCCGTTATCTTAGAGTAACTGCTTTTCATATCTCCGTAAAGTTTAGGTTTACGCGATCTCAGAGAACAATGTGTCCTATCATGTGGTGATCTCAGTGCTTGCACATGTTTTGGGCATACTGTACATACAGTACTCTTGTTGACTTTCATAGGCTATGTTAACAAAGGACAAAATATCAAAATCTACTTATAAGAATCTGATGAAATTTGGCAGAATTCCTGTTCATAGATGTATAATTCCACTTTATATAAAGGAAACAAAAAAATAAAGTTGCATAAAGGAGTTTGTCACACTTAGCAGAGTAATTGCTTTTTTCTCACTACACAGTGCCCACAACTCTTAAGGCAGAAGTTTGGAAAAAATTAACATAATACCTCTCATTGTTGATTGGTTACATGTACCACATGAATAAAAAAATGGAAATCAGAAATGTTGATATCAGGTACGCAGGCATTTTGGGGGAAGGGAGGATATACAACTCTCCTAAAAATACTGTGAGGGACGCTAGGTTACAGAAACAAAATTTCACAATTTTTTTCAGAAAAAAGCTGATAATAATAAAGGAATTTAATACTGGATATTTAACCAGGGAAGGAGATTGGATTCTATCTAACTCACCTATTGAAAAATCTACATTTTAGCATAATTCAGCTGTAACGTGGTGCTCTAGCAGTGCACTATTCTTCGTAAAAAAGACCAAACCAAGCAGTGTAGATTTTTGTCGACACTGTATGAGTACATTTCTGTAAGGTCAGTCTTCAGCCTGCACAGTTGCTACATTTGTACATTATTTAAAAATAATTGTTTGATATCAAAGTCCTTTTTATTTGCCTTTTTCACACTGCCCATAATACACCTTGTTTACCCTTGTTTATCTGATACATAGTGACTCAAGGATCACATGTCTTGGATAGATATAGGAGCTGGCTGTACAGCATGACAGTTCACAACTTGGTAACTCTAAGAATGGCAACGTATACTAGCTGCCCCCACGAATAAGAACCTAGATTTTTCCAAGTTTTTTTTTTAATTTATTTATTTGCATCACTGATTTACATTACTTACAAAGCATATAAATAAATGATTACATTGCTACTATACAGTAATTACTTAAACAAATTATCCAGATCTATAATACAGAGTAGCCAAAGTAACTTATTAAGTAGTTCTTGTATACTCACGCACACACACACACACATGCACACACACGCACTACGCACATTTACTGATTATCCGCCTAGGAACGTCAAAAGAACCACTAGAGAGTTAGCATGATTGCTGTTCTCTGCACATCTCGACAAAGGAAATAAAGAGTAAAGATCATTTTCCCAGATAAACGCTCCCCATTTTGCATTGAATTTTCTTAAAATCCCAGTTTTGATGGCATAACCTCTTTCATAATCAACACAATTTAGAATGGTTCGAAAAAAGAGTTCCCATGAAGGGTTAAGGCCTTTTTGTTTGGAGAAATAGATGTGATACCTTGCGATTAAAAGTGCATGATGGAAAAGCAGGTTTGTAGTATCGTTCACTAGGCCTATGCAAGACAAAAAGGAGAATTCTTCGTTAAGAAAGCAATAGCTGTTTTTCATCCAGGTACCAATTTCATTCCAAAGGGATTTAACCAAAGGACATTCTCAAAAGAGGTGCAAAACAGTTTCCGAGCTTTCTTTGCAGAAACTGCATTGATCATTAGATTTGATTCCAATTTTTAAAAGGAAACAGTTTGTTGCCAATTTTCTATGCAGAAATTTAAATTGCAAAACACGTAATTTAGCTTCGTTGGTACATACAAAAGCAAGGGTATGTGACTTACCCCAATCAATCGTGTCAAAAATGACCAGATAAGGAACTAAAGCATTGACCTCATTGGCATATAAATTTCAGTTGGAGTGACAAGGCACCTATGTCTCCAAAGAAAATTCTGAATGCTGACTTATCTGATATTTACCTAAGTGTACACAATTTTTTCCATAATTAGATAAGAACCTGTTTCAAATTTTAGGCTAAACAGGTTCTTATATAGAAGAGGGGCTTAACTGGCTCATTTTCGCCTAACAGGCTCTTAAAATCCAGGTTCTGAGTCATGGGGTCTTACTGTATGCCAAAAGTTTCTGTGTGCTGCCTTAAGCGGGCCACAACATATTCAATGTATGAAAAATTAACCCCACTGGTATCAACACTTCTTTGCAGGTTAACATTTTAACTGTAATACTGAAATAGCCCACCTTCTAGAGGCTCTGATAGGGCAAAATTCTAATAAGCGACCTTGCCTTGAAACAGTGACAGAAGACTAAGTGACAACAAACACAGTTAACGATGGGCTGAATACAGAAATGCAAAAACGTGAAACTATTAATTGAAAGCGTTTAAAATTCAGTCTAGGGACATATGTACCCTCACATCCACAAAAAGGCCTCTTTCCACATTTGTATATATTGAAATTCAGCATGATAGTGAGTCCAGGAGCACTGTAGCTCTCATGCTAAATTTTAAAGTACAAAATCCCTTGACGTACATCTTGCTACACCATAAATTGGACAGTTAGAGCTGGTCCCTACTTTGCTTTACTTCCTTTCTGTGATTCTCTAAAAGATGGACATCTCTTTAAGACAGACCCTTTTTTGTGATCCCAGAGGTGTCCGTCTTAGAGAGTTGACCAAATAAAAAATTGAAAACAGGCTAAACTGCGCTCACATTTCTTGCAGAATTTTGATCCAAAAAAGTCTAACAGCATCATCTTCCAAATCAAAAGCAAAACACATCCACATTGAATTTCCACATTATTATTCTTAGCCACTTTCAGGGAATGATGCAGTCTGCTGCCTGAATGACTGCACTAATCCCTAAATTTGCTAATTTGAGGGCCCTCATGATACAGGAAACTCTTCAGCCTAAACTTTGAAATAGGTTATTATTTTCTAAAATGAGGTGTTTATATATTATTTTCTAAAGGAAGACTTCAAAATCCCCATGAACAATGCTTCAGTTTTTTCTTGTTACGGTCATTTTTACAAGCCCGGTTCGGTAAATAAGCTTGAGCAGTAACTTAACTTACAATTTGCCGCAAAATCAAAAAAGCTCACAACTTCACGATCTATAAAAACAAGACTAGAGCTAGCCTAGCTTGAGCTTATCTGTACCATGACTCTAATCAATATATAAAAAAGCCTTTGAAAGAACTGCAAATAACACCTCACCTCAGAAGCTCGAAAATACGGTGGCTGTAAGGTACCACCTCTGTTGCTACTGTCCTT